CCTCCTCCCTCTCCTCCTCCTCCTCCTCCTTATCCTCCTCTTCTCCTCCTCCCCCCTCTTCTCTCGTCTTCCTTCTCCTCCTCCTCCTCCTCCGCCTCCTCCTCCTCCTCCTCCTCCTCTTCCTACTCTACTCCTCCTCCATCCTCTTCCTCCTCATCCTCCTTCCCCCCCTCTATTCCTCTTCTTCCTTCTCATCCTCCCATCTCCCGCCTCCCGTCTCATCATCCCTTATTATATTATGGTTTCTCTTCAGATTCCGATTTGTTGTATTCCTCATCCGTCTCCTTCTCCTCCTCCTCATCTTCCTCTTCCTCCTCATCATTCTCCTCCTCCGCTTCCTCCTCCTCATCATCATCATCCCGCCTCATCATCATCCTGCTCCTCATCCTCATCCCTCCGTCAGCATTCCTCCTTCTTCCCCCTAACATTCCTCCTTCATTCTTCCTTCCTCCTTCCTCCTCCTCAGTGTATTCCTCCCCATCCTCCTCCTTTGTCGCATCCTCCTCATCATCCTTATTATCCTCCTCATCCTCGTCCTCTCCTCACCCTCCCCCTCATCCTCATCATCCTCATATTCATCATCCTAGTCCTCCTCCTCCTCCTCCTCCTCCTCCTCCTCCTCCTCCTCCTCTTCCTCCTCCTCCTCCTCCTCCCGCCTCCTCCCGCTTCCCCCCTTAGTTTCATCCATTCTCCTCCTCTCTTCTCTTCCTCCTTTCTCGTCCTCTCCCCCCTCCCTCCCCCCTCCTCATCCACCTCCTCCTCCTCCTCCCGTCGTCCCCCCCCCCCTCCTCGTCATCAATTCCCCCTCCTCGTCGTCATCCCTCCTTCCCGCCCTCCCTCCCTCCCGCCTTCCCTCCCTCGTCCATCCCTGCCCCTCCCCCTCCTCCCCTGCCCTGCCTCCTCCTCAGGGACGTGTCGCTGACCCACACGAAAAACCCTCACCTCCAGGGCATCTACAACACGCCTGACTGGAAGCCGCCGCATTGGGAGAAGGACTGCGCATACTCCCCCTTATCCTCATCAGCTTCCGCCTCCTCCTCCTCCTCCTGCTGCTCCTTCTCCACCTCCTCCTCCTCCTCCGTCTCCTCCTCCTCCTCTTCCTTCATCAGTTTCCTCCCCCACCTCTTCTTCTCCTCCTCCGCCCCGCCTCATCCTCATCGCCATCCTTCATCCTTGTATGAGATGGCGCAGAGCGCGCCCGAAAGGCGTAAACAGTTTGGACCTTGTCCGCGCAGCGACTTGCGACCGTCCTCCTCATCCGTCTCTTCATCGGCAGCAGCAGCATCATCAGCATAACAACCGCCAATTCCAGCATAAACGTCGTGGTCATCTTCGTCATCACGACCACCACCACAATCCTCATCGCCATCAGCATCATCATCATCATCAGCAGCAGCATCAGCAGCAGCAGCAACAGCAGCATCATCATTGGCAGCATAAACAGCATCGTCATCATCAGCAGCAGCATCATCAGCGTCAACATACTAATCGTCATCATCAACATCATCATCATCAGCAGCATCGTATTCGTCATCAGCATCACCATCAGCATCGTCATCGTCATCGACATCGGCATCGTCGTCATCCTCAGCAGCAGCATCGTCATCAGCAGCATCACCATCAGCAGCATCAGCATCATCATCAGCAACAGTAACATCATCAGCATCACCATCATCAGCATCAGCATCAATATCAGCCGCAGCAACATCAGCATCAACATCAGCATCACCATTAGCATCATCATCAGCATCATCAGCATCATCGCACCGTCATCATGCATCACAATCATCATCAGCATCATCCTCATCGTCGCGGGATGGACGACGTCAGCGCGCCTCCACGAGGCCGTCGTTCACCCGTGCCTGTTCGGTTGTCCCGCCCGGGACGAGTGGACGCACTACGCCGACTGCTTCCCGCTCTGGTCCACCGTGTACAGCCTCATCGGGAAGCGCCCGCCGCCGAAGCGGTTCGATACGCTCGCCTTGAATGCCCAGACGGCCGACGAGCTCAAGACAACTTTTATCGCATACTAGACGTACCACAAGATCAAGCACTCACACCTCAGCGACGCACTCCGGCACTTACAATTACAGCAGCATGATGAATTTAGTGGCCTTACGGATCGCCTCGCGCACGCGGCAGCGCGCTTCTGTCGCTAGAGTGTGGCATTGCACCCCTCGATGTTACCGGCATCATCCTCATCGTCGTCAGTATCGTCAACGTCGTCATCAGAATCGGAACCGGCATCAGTATCGCCATCATTGTCATCGTCATAAACATCATCATCGTCATTGTCACCAGCATCATCGTTATCAACAGCACCATCATCATCATCATCGTCGTCATCGTCATCTGCATCGTCGCCAATGTCATCGACATCGTCATGGTCATTGTTAGTATGACTTTGAAGATGAGTGGCACCAGAAGGTGTAGGATCCTAGGCGCGTCGCGTAACCCCACCAGCCCATCCAGAAACGATGTCCAGGCGAGTTGCCCTTATAGGGCCTGTGGGGGAGCACGCAGTGGAGTAAAGGTTGGGAATCCGCCATACCCCAAGAGGGGGACGGTGAAGAAGGAAGAGAAGGAAGAGGAGGAGGAGGAGGAGGAGGAGGAGGAGGAGGAGGAGGAGGAGGAGGAGGAGGAGGAGGAGGAGGAGGGTGGAAGAGGAGGAGGAGGAGGAGGAGGAGGAGGAGGGAGGGGGGAGGAGGAGGATTAGGCGGATGATGAAGAGGAGGAGGGGGAGGAGGGCGAGCAGGAAGGCCAGAGGCTTCGCGGGTGCTTCCCGGAGTCGCTCCGGATGTTTCTTAGGAGCTTCTTGTAGGCCTCGTGGGGTCTCTTGGGGGCCTCGTGGCGGTCCTGGGGGCCTCTTGAAGCGTATTGGGTGCATCGGGGGCGCCTCCTCAGGCCTCTTCGGGGGTCTCTTGGGAGCATGTTGGGAGCCTCGTGGAGGCACCTTGGGGGCATCTTGGAGGCTTCGTGGGGCCTCCTAGGCGCCTATTGGGGCACTCTTGGCTGCTTCGGGGACCAACTTGGGGCCACTTTGGAGGTGATCGATGAAACAAGGAGGCGATCTAATTAGCCCACCCTCCCCCCCTCCCCCCCCCGAGGCCAAAATGTGGCCAATACTCTGACTAGAATCAATATGATGTGTTGCCTTCTCGCCGAGGCCGTTTCGGACGCTATAACCCCTCGCCGCCACCACCAGCCCGACCCTCCAGACCCAGGGGGAGGGGGAGGGGGAGGGGGAAGCCTCTCTCCGAAGAGGAAGAGGGAGCATGGAAGAGGAAACGCTTTAAAGCACTCACGCCCTAAAGGGCTGGTGGGAGGACAGTTCTTCACACTTCGCGTATACACCAGCATCCGTAACCCCCTTGGCTCAAGCCGCTCTGGCTCAAGCCGAGCCGAGCCAGCTACGCGCCTGGGGCCGGAGGTCGGCCCCGTCCTCCGGCGCGGCCTGGGGGGGGCCCGGAAGGGGCGCCTCCTCCTTGCCCCCTCCTCCCCGTGCCATGGCGGGCGCCTCACCCCCTCCTCGCCGTGCCTGGCCGCCGCGCGGCGCCTCCGCCGCGGTGTCGCGCTCGGCGCGCCGCCGCCGGCAGCGGCGGGCCGCGTTGGCCGCTAGCCCCGCGGGCGCTGCTGCTGCTGCTGCTGCTGGCGGCGCTGGCGCCTCTCTGGACGGGGCCGCCGAGGCCGGGCCTGCCGCCGGCGGCGGCCCCCTCTGGCCTGGCTGCGGCGGCTGGCGCCGCCGGCGCTGCGCGTGCGGCCGGCGCCGCCGGCGCTGCCGCCCCCGCGGCCGCCGGCGACGGCGCCGCCGCCGCGGCCGCCGCCGCCGCCGCCCCGGCGGCCGCCGCCGCCGCGGCTGCCGCCGCCGCCGCGCCGCCGCCGTGGCGGAGGCGGCCGCCGCGGCGGCCGCGGGCCACGCAGCCAGCGCCGCGGCCGCCGTGGCCCCCGCGGCCGCCCTTGGGCCCGCCGCTGCGGGCGCCGCCGCGGCCGCCGCGGCCGCCGCAGCCGCTGGCGCGGCGGCGGCCGCCGCGGCGGCCGCGCAGCAGCAGCAGCAGCAGCAGCAGCAGCAGCAGCAGCAGCAGCAGCAGCCGCTGCAGCTGCACTTGCAGGAGCAGCAGCAGCGGCAGCAGCGGCAGCAGCGACAGCAGCAGCCAGCCGCAGCAGCAGCGGAAGCAGCAGCAGCAGCCGCAGCAGCAGCACCTGCAGCAGCAGCCGCAGCTGCGGCAACTGCAGCCGCAACAGCAGGAACAGCAGCAGCCGCAGCAGCAGGGCAGCAGCAGCAGCAGCAGCAGCAACAGCCGCAGCCGCAGCAGCAGCAGCAGCAGCAGCAGCAGCAGCGGCAGAATCCAGCAGCTGCAGCAGCAGCAGCAGCAGCAGCAGCAGCAGCCGCAGCAGCGGTAGCAACAGCGGCAGTACCCCCAACCACAGCCACAGCAGCAGCTACAGGTGCTGCAGCAACAGCACCCCGCAGCTGCAGCAGCAACAACACCCCCCTCAGCAGCCACAGCAACCGCCGCAGCACCCACAACCACAGCCGCACCACCAGCAACAGGTGCTGCAGCAGCAGCTACAGCAGCCCCAGCAGCAGCAGACCCTCCCCGGGGACGGGAGACCCGCGAGCCTCAAAGTACCCTCTCTGACGACCAGAAGGAGGCACCCCTGCTCGCTGACAGCCTCCTAGGCATCTCTGGGAGCCAGCAGAACCCACGAGAAGACCCAGAGGTTCCCTTGCTCCCTCATCAGCAGCAGCAGGGCAGAGAAAAGGAGAGGGAGGTCGCGGCGGAGTCGGCGGAGGCTGCGGAGGCCGCGGAGTATCGGGGGCCCGAAGCGGCGGAAGCCTTAGAAGGTGCGGAAGTGGCACAAGCCTTCACCCGTGTCTCCGGATTAGAACTGGGCGGGCAGGGGGTGGCCCCCGAAAGTGCTGACGGCAGCCGCAACAGTCAGCTAAGCGAGATCCCGGAACAGCAGGGGCTCGCCTGCCACACCGTGCCACCCCCACCTCCCCCTCAAAACAATCAGACCGTCAGCAGTCCCCTGGGAGCGCCACAGACCCAGCAGGGGGGCCACGGACCAACCGTCCAGACGCAGGACAGCGAAGCCATCCACTGGCTCGTCGGGAGAACCCCTTCGCGCCTATTCGCCCCCCTTCCCCTGCCAGTGAACCCACTCTCATGGGCGGCGAACCCCAGGCGCTCTCTCCAGACGTCCAGGGCACGACTGACAAAGAACATTGTGATCTGGCAACGAAAACAGCGTCGCCGTACGTGCACGCGCCTGGCGCAACCAGCGGCACCCCCGAGACCGGCGAGAGTCCTGCGTTGACCGAAGGGGACGCACCCGGGAGCGACGGCGGGCACAGGCCCGAAGGCGAACGCCAGCGAAAGGGGCCTCTCCCCGCGCACCACAGGGCAGCGTCCGCCCTGGCTGCCGGATACGATTCGACCCCCGCCCGGCGGCCAACCATGCGGCCCGCCTCTCCCCGCAGAACCCCGCCGGGCGTGCAGCCGGAACTGTCGCGAGCAGATCGCGAGCCCTCCGGCCGGGACAGCGAGGCCGGCACGCTGGAGACTTGCGGCCAGGATACACAGCAGCACCAATGGCCTGACCCGCGCCAATGGCCAGAGCCCACGGACCCCGACACGGGACAGCAGCTGTACAATACATAAATCAGCAACATCCAGTGGGACCTACCCGGGGAGACACCCGGCGAGGCGATAAGGCGGCTCCAAGTCACACTGGGAACAATGTTCGCAGGCACCTGGCACGCTTTCGCCAAGCGGCAGTCCGTGCCTGGCAGCAAAGGCGCGCTCGACCCGCTTTGGCGCGACCCGCAAACCTGCCACCTCTTCCTGGAATCCTTCCGCAGCCACATGTGCGACGTACGGGTCGTCAGCGACGCACTGGGCCTCGACGTCGACTGGACTCGGCCGCGGCATCTGCACCCGGGGCGAAGCGGCGGAGCGAGCAGGGATCACCCCGCGGCAAAGGGCCACCCGAACACCCAGGCACCCAGGAAGGGCAAAAAACAGTGGCGGGCCGTCTCCCCACAGTAGCCATTGCTGCCCCACCTCGTGGCATCGCACACGCGGGGTTCAGGTGCAAGGAGAATGGTCACTAGCAACAGGCCCGCTGCTGCCCTGCAAAACAGAGCCTGCGAAAGGGATGCATCCGGACCCAGCGGCCCTGGACGCACGCGGGGGCTGCTGTACCTCGGGCCCGGGGCCCCCCTCCTCGGGGGGTCAAGGCGCCCTCGCATCCCCGCTCTGGCTGCCAAGAGCTTTTCTTCGCCTCCCCCCCGTGCTCGCTTCGTCTTGACCGCAACTGGACACTGCGGCCCTGGACGCACGCGGGGGCCTGCCTGTACCACGGGCCGGGGCCTCCCACCGGGGCTCAAGGCACTCTCGCATCCCAGCTCTGGCAGCCAAGGGCCATCCTTCGCCCCCCCCCCGTGCACGCCTCGTCTTCACGGCGCCCACTGTCATCAATTGCAGCGCTGAGTGCAGAGACTGAGGCACTTCCAATCATAGATGGGGCCTTCGCAGACACACTTTCCATCAAATCGCGTTCTGCGGCGGTTAGCTGCACCCCCCGTGCCAACGAGAAGTCGATGTCCAATCATAGATGGGGCTCTCGCAGACACACTTTCCATCAAATCGTGTTCTGCGGCGGTTAGCTGCGCCCTCCGTGTCAACGAAAGGTCGATGTCCAATCATAGATGGGGCTCTCGCAGACACACTTTCCATCAAATCGTGTTCTGCGGCGGTTAGCTGCACCCCCCGTGTCAACGAAAGGGGCCGCCACCGGGCTCCGCGACCCTGGACGCACGCCGGGGCTGCCTGGACCACGGGCTCGGGGCCTCTCACGGGGGCACCAGGCACTCTCGCATCCCTGCTCTGGCTGCCAAGGGCCGTCCTTCGCCCCCCCCCCCCGTGCACGCTTCGTCTTCACAGCGCCCAATGTCACCGGTTGCTGCACTGAGAGTAGGAGCGTGAAGGGTCACACTGGCTGCAGCTCCTCCCCGCACAGCATGGCGGCAGTCAACGAAAAGAACCTCAGACTGGCAGGTTGACAATGGCTGCAAGTACTGTTCCCGCTCGACGGAGTCAGCGAAAGGGACCGCCACCGGGCTCAGCCACCCTGGACGCACGCAGGGGCCTGCCTGGACCACGGGCTCGGGGCCCTTCACGCGGGCTCAAGGCACTCTCGCATTCCTGGCCCTGGCAGCCAAGGGTCGTCCTTCGCCCCCCCCGTGCACGCTTCGTCTTCGCAGCGCCCACTGTCACCAGTTGCTGCGCCGAGAGGAGGTGCGTCAACGGTGTACACTGGCTGCAGCTCCTCCCCGCCCAGCATGGCGGCAGGTGGCCAACGTGTTCTGTGTCTGCGGTGGGGTGTGGGTGCGTGCCCCGCGTCCCGCGGGTTCTCCCCGGGGCTCTCGCTTTCTGGCGCTGTCCTCCCTGGGGTGTCTGCTGCTGGGCTCGGGTCCGCCCTGGGGCTCAGGTACTCTTGCATCCCTGTGCTGTCGGTTCAGCGGTGGCGGGGGCACCATCCTTGCAATCACGATCCACAGGCTCCGGCGCATTGCCGGGATGTGGGATGCTAAGTTGGTGCCCACGTCGTCAGTGGCAGCGCTGGGTTGTAAAATGTTTCTTAGCGGCGGGCATTGCAGCGCTGAGAGCAGAGACGGAGGCACTTTCCAATCATAGATGGGGATCTCGCAGACACACTTTCCATCAAATCGTGTCCTGCGGCGGTTAACTGCACCCCCCTTGCCTACGAAAGGTCGATGTCCAATCATAGATGGGGCTCTCGCAGACACATCTTGCTGGCTCACACTATGTAAATGGTGTTTTGCGGCGGTTAGCTGCACCCCCCTCTCTCAGCGCAGGTGCTTTCCAATCATAGATGGCGCTCTCGCAGACACACTTTCCATCAAATCGTGTTTTGCGGCGGTTATCTGCACCCCCCGTGTCAACGAAAGGTCGATGTCCAATCATAGATGTGGCTCTCGCAGACACACTTTCCATCAAATCGTGTTCTGCGGCGGTTAGCTGCACCCCCCTTGTCAACGAAAGGTCGATGACCAATCATAGATGGGGCTCTCGCAGACACACTTGATGGGGCTCTCGCAGACACACTTTCCATCAAATCGTGTTCTGCGGCGGTTAGCGGCACCCCCCGTGTCAACGAAAGGTCGATGTCCAATCATAGATGGGGCTCTCGCAGACACACCTTGCTGGCTCACACTATGTAAATGGTGATTTGCGGCGGTTAGCTGCACCCCCCTCTCTCAGCGCAGGTGCTCTCAGCGAGAAGTGCACATTCAACAGAGACCTCAGCTGCGAGTAGCTGCACCCATCGATGTAAAATGTATCCTAGCGGCGGTTAGCTGCGACCCCCCCTTTCTTCCACGCTGATGCTTGCGGATAGTAGCTGCGATCCGACCCCCGAGAATGACCCAGGAGATGACCATGGCCCCTAGCCCTCGGATTCGGGGCCTGGCCGAGGGGTGTGGCGGTGCTTCTCCTCGCCTCTCCCCTCTCGGGCCTGGCGGGTGTCCCCCGCCCTCGGCCTCGGGGCCTGCCAGACGTGCTATCAGACGTCAGGGTGGTCGCCCCCCCTCCCAGGGCCACCCGTGTTCCGCGCTTCGTGGTCTGGCTCCCACTCTCTGCGGGGTGTGTTTCGGCCCTGGTGGACCTCGTGGTGTGTGGTGGGTCTCAGGTCTGGGGGACTGCCTATCGGTGGACTGGGCCTGGCTTGCCTCCTGGCCCACGTGTCCTCCACAGTGCCGCTCCCCCAGGCGCCTCGCCATTTGACACCACAGGAGGCAGCACTACCACCAGTGCCGCCCCCCCCCCTCACTCCTCCGCTGGCGGTGCGTCCCCGCCTGCGGGCCCCCCCCCCTCTCTGAGGCCTGGCGCCGTGCCAGCACGCGCTGCGTGGCCCACAGTCGCTCGTTCCGCCTTTGCCCTGTGGAGTGGTCACTCGGGTGTTGGGTCGCCACGGAGTGGCTCAGCCTTCCGCAGCAGGACAGCACCCAAGCTCCCACCAGCTGCCGGCCAGTGCGCCGCACCAGTTCGTTCGGAGTCTGGCGCCCCACAGGCGACTCACTCCACCGGCCTCCCACTTGCCTCCACTGCAGCAGGACCCCCCGTGGCGGGTTGCGCAGGCGTTCACCATTCAACGGCGATGCTCCCCACGCCTGCGGATCTCTTCGCTTCAGGGATCGGCATCGCAGTTGCGCCTTGGGCACAGCCGCATGGCTCCACCTGGCACTGGGAGGCGGATTACTGAGGTCTGGGCGCCGTGTGGTTCAGCCTGGTTCGCCTGTACAGCCCCCGGTTGTCCTTCTGATTCGCACACCCTGCCGCTTGTCCACCTCGGTTCACACTGCGGCGCCTATGTGCGTTCGCTTGTGAATTTAGTTCATTTTGTTCTCTGCATGTGCAACTGCGCCCTTGTTGTGCAGGTGCGAACCGGCTTGCCAACGCGGCGGCGGTGTTCGCCAATTCGCATCGTGCCGCACGCCCCGGACTCTGCCTCTCGCCGCCAGACCGTTGTCGCGCGGCCGCCGACCAAAAAAACAAAATACACCAGCACGCTCGTAGCCCGGGCTGACTTCGGACGCCGCCTGCGCCTTCGCTTGCGGCCGCGACGGGAAAAAATATACACCAGCACGTTCAGAAACATTGCCCGTGAGAGTTGACGGGGAAAGGCACGAAGAGACACAGATAGTGAAACAAAGTGGGCAATCAGCATGAACAGTGCAATGAACAGAGAGGAGATCTTTGGGAGCAAGGGGGTGGCTTTGGAGGGCCTAGTCGGGCCATCCCTGGGGCCCGCTGAGGGGCGAAGGGAGGAGGAGGAGAAGGTGGAGGAGGAGGAGGAGAAGAAAGAAAACCGCATCGTGGCGTCCTCGTGGGACACTCTTGGGGCGCTTTGGGGGCAGTCTTGGGGAGAGGCCCTCCTGGGAGCCCTGTAGGGCCTCCTGGGGCTACCGTGGAGGGACTCGGTGAAGAGAATGGAATCGTTACGTGTGGTTTGCCATCTGGGGCCCTTGCAGTGGCCCCACTGGGGCCCTCTTGGGGCGATCGTGGGTCGCTGTTGGGCGCCTTTGGTGCCTCGTGGGCCCCTGCCGGGCTTTCCTGGGACATGCTGGGTCCTCAAAGGCGCACGGGGCGCGAAAAGGCGAGAGGGCAAACATCACTGATTCTCCTTGGGTGCTGGAAGGATGTCGGCCTCTTGGGGGGGAGGGGAAATACCGAGGGGGCTCCGAGGGCACGTGGAACCGTCTTGTCGCCCCCGTCGGGCCTCTTGGAGGTGTGTCGGAAGCTATCTGGAATAATCTTCGGCCATCTTGAGTTGCCTTGAAGAACATCTTCGAGCATCGGAGGCCATCTTGGAGCCATCCTGGGCGAAACAGCACCCCCAGGTACATCGCGAAACCTCACAACACAGTCCTAAGGGAAGAGTGTTCTGGAAGAGGAAATAAAGAATTCGCTAGACCACCTTGGCCCAAAGGGCTGGTGGGAGTCTCCACACCGCGCTTGCCCCAGCCAGCTTGTTACCGCACGTCGCAGCCCGTCGTCGCCGCCGTCGCCGCCCCTCGCCGCCGTCCGTCGCCGCCATTTGCGCCGCTTTGCTTTGCATTGCGTTGCATTGGTTTGCATTGTGTTACATCGCATTGCACTGCTTTGCATCGCCTTGCATCACATTGATTTATTTACAGCGCATTGCTGTACTTTGAAATGTGTTGTATTGCATAGCATTCCGTTCGGTGGCATTGATGTGCATTGTTGTGCATCGCATTTCACTGCGTTGCATTAATTTAGACTGTTTTGCATTGCGTGGCATTGATTTGCATTGGTTTGCATTGATGTGCATTGCGTTGCATCGCATTGCATCACATTGATTTGGTTGGCTTTGAGTTGCTCTGAATTGCTTTGCATTGCGTTGCATTGCTTTGCACCACATAGATTGTACCTCATGGATTGCACTATCTGAGTTGCACCACATTGATTGCACTACCTGGATTGCACCGCATATATTCCAAGAAAACACGATGTGGGACCCCTGCTGACTAACTGATACCTATACGCATCACCGTCAGCATCATTCCGTATTCATCATCATCATCAACACCATTACCAGCATCGTCGCTATCGCCATCACAATCATGACCGACGTCATCGTCGTCGTCGTCATCGCCAGCATCGTCATACACTCATCGTCAGCCCCCTCCGCGTTGCTGCAAGGATACGTTCGGAGGCTGGAGCGCCTCGACGCGCATGGCACGCTCCGACGGCTTCTTCGGGACCAAGGAGAAGCACCGAATGGCGCCCAAGGAGCTGATGTACAGCGAGAGGCTGGAGAGGAAGGTCCAGCACCAGGTCGAGCTGATTCACCAAGACGCCCTGGCGAGGACGGTGGGCAAGCTCCGGAAGGAGGCCCTCGCGGCGACGGCCCCGGCCTTCTCCGCAAACAACGGGACAGGCAGGCCGTGGGCCCAGCCGAAGACCAGCGCCATGGTCGCTCGGCCGCCCTGAGGGCTGGTGGGTCCAGTGGGCCCTCGAGGGCGCGAAGTTATTCCCACTTCGCGCTTCGCGCTTCGCGGTTCGGCTCCGATTCCTCCTCATCCTCCTCTCATCCCCTGGGGGGCGGCGCGAGAGCGCGAAGTTATCCGCGCTTCGCGCAGCGCGAAGCGCGAAGTTGGGAGCCCTTTGGCAGGAGGACGTGGGCGCTGGCCAAAATCATCGAGCCGAGACGCTGTGGTCGGCGTGCGCGCCGATTTCGACCAGGTCTCGGGCTCCAGGGGGTGCTCCGGGTTCTCACAGTCCCAGTTCTGGCTTTTTGCGAAGAGGAACGTGTGCCCGCATACGAAGTTTTCCCTGGCACGCAGGGAAAGAACAACCAGAATGGCTGGGCACCACATGTCCAGCAGTGCTAAGGGGTGTCGCAAGCTTCTCATAAGGATCGACGTTCGGGGATCGAATATGTCTTGGAAGATGTGGGACGTTTGCGGAGCGTCTAGACAGGGTGGGGGGTCCTGAAGGGCCTCCTCGAGGAAGTGGCGATCTCCCTAGTGGCGAGCTGCATCTGCTGGCCAGAGAGGGTCTGCCTGGATATTCTAGGGGGCTCTCTTGCCATGAGGGTGGCCGAACGACCATGACACCAGCGCGGGTTGCGGCTTCTTCTCGACGCCGGAGCCTTACAAGCCTGGTGAGCAGCAGTTCGACGAGTACTTGAACACGGCTGTCATGCAGCCGAGCAGGAGCTCCAGTTCCTTCCATCTCCTCCTCCGACCCCTCCACCACCTGGGGCGCTCCAAACAGGGCCTTGCCTCCGAGGATCGAAGGACTTGCCATCTCCTCCGCGGCGGAAGGCGGCCAAAGGCCAGCGGAGGGCGGCGGAAGCAAAACGAGGCCGCCTCCGCCGGCAGAAGCCGGCGGAGGGCCAGCGGAAGGCGGCCGAGAAAAAGATGCGCCCCCAAGAGATGGCAACTTTTTGGGGGTCAAGGGTCCCTGGAGTCCGCCGTCTAGGCCGCCTCCGCCGGCAGAAGCCGGCGGAGGGCCAGCGGAAGGCGGCCGAGAAAAAGATGCGCCCCCAAGAGATGGCAACTTTTTGGGGGTCAGGGGTCCCTGGAGTCCGCCATCTAGGCCGCCTCCGCCGGCAGAAGCCGGCGGAGGGCCAGCGGAAGGCGGCCGAGAAAAAGATGCGCCCCCAAGAGATGGCATTTTTTTTTGAGGTCAAGGGTCCCTGGAGTCCGCCATCTAGGCCGCCTCCGCCGGCAGAAGCCGGCGGAGGGCCAGCGGAAGGCGGCCGAGAAAAAGATGCGCCCCCAAGAGATGGCATTTTTTTTTGAGGTCAAGGGTTCCTGGAGTCCGCCATCTAGGCCGCCTCCGCCGGCAGAAGCCGGCGGAAGGCCGGCGGAAGGCGGCCGAGAAAAAGATGCGCCCCCAAGAGATGGCATGTCTTTTGGGGGTTAAGGGTTTCGTGGAGTCCGCCATCTAGGCCGCCTCCGCCGGCAGAAGCCGGCGGAGGGCCAGCGGAAGGCGGCCGAGAAAAACATGCGCCCCCAAGAGATGGCATTTTTTTTTGAGGTCAAGGGTCCCTGGAGTCCGCCATCTAGGCCGCCTCCGCCGGCAGAAGCCGGCGGAGGGCCAGCGGAAGGCGGCCGAGAAAAAGATGCGCCCCCAAGAGATGGCATTTTTTTTTGAGGTCAAGGGTTCCTGGAGTCCGCCATCTAGGCCGCCTCCGCCGGCAGAAGCCGGCGGAAGGCCGGCGGAAGGCGGCCGAGAAAAAGATGCGCCCCCAAGAGATGGCAACCTTTTTGGGGTCAAGGGTTCCTGGAGTCCGCCATCTAGGCCGCCTCCGCCGGCAGAAGCCAGCGGAAGGCGGGCGGAAGGCGGCCGAGAAAATATGCGCCCCCAAGAGATGGCAACTTTTTGGGGGTCAAGGGTTCCTGGAGTCCGCCATCTAGGCCGCCTCCGCCGGCAGAAGCCGGCGGAGGGCCAGCGGAAGGCGGCCGAGAAAAAGATGCGCCCCCAAGAGATGGCATTTTTTTTTGAGGTCAAGGGTTCCTGGAGTCCGCCATCTAGGCCGCCTCCGCCGGCAGAAGCCGGCGGAAGGCCAGCGGAAGGCGGCCGAGAAAGAGATGCGCCCCCAATAGAAATTCCCAGCAGTGGCCAACTTGGGGCAGTCTGGGAGGCCTCTTGGAGCAATATTGAAGCTCATGGGCCGAATTTCTAAGCCTTCGAAATTTCAAGCCTTCTGGGCCTTATTGGAGCTCTCTTGGAGAGGAGCATTTCGGACCCTGTCAGGCCCTCCTGGAGGTATTGACGAATAAGTTGGGCCTGAAACGATTGCCCCCTTGGGATCCGAAAACTGCTTGGGGAGACTGTATTCGGATGCTCTCGGGGTGGGGGGGGCATTCGGGGCTCCAATCGGCCAGCTTGAAGTTGTTTTGAGGCTGGAGACGACCGATATAAAAAACAAAAGTGCAAAAGCAACCGAAAACCTCATTCGCTGATCAATGGTTTCGGCATATCGGGGTATCCTTGGGAGTCCCAGGGGAGCACCTCAGATCCATTCGGGGCATGGTCAGAGCCTCTTGGAGCCGTACTACAGGCCCACTGAGGCCGTATTGGATATCAGTTGGCGACATTTGGTGCTCTCCTTGATCGAGACCCCGTGGTCCCCTGGGGAAGGGGGAGGGGCAATATTTAAACAATCTCCGGGAATCGGAGGTGAGGGGGTGAGATCGAAGTGGAACGGAGAGCCCCCCTGACGGGAAATCGGTTTCGGTTTCGTGTTCGTGCGTGCCGTGCGTGCGGGCGAGGCGAAGCTGCGTGGGCGGGCGAGAAGAAAGTCTCCTCCGGCTGAGGCGCGGCCGGACCAAATGATGCCTCTCCGGGGGCCGGTGGCCCGCGGTGTCCCGCTGGTGTCCCGCCTCCGGCTGAGGCGCGGCCGGACCAAATGTTTCCTCTCCGGGGGCCGGTGGCCCGCGGTGTCCCGCCGGTGTCCCGCCGGTGTCCCGTCGGTGTGCCGATGATGATGATGATGATGATGACGACGATGATGATGATGAAGATGATGATGATGATGGTGATGATGATGATGATGATGTCGATGTTGTCGATGATGTTGGAGATGATGATGATGATGATGATGATGATGATGATGATGATGATGATGATGATGATGATGATGATGATGGTGATGGTGATGGTGATGGTGATGGTGATGGTGATGGTGATGGTGATGGTGATGGTGATGGTGATGGTGATGGTGATGGTGGTGATGAAGATGGTGTCCCGGTGATGATGATGACGTTGACGATGTGGATGATGGTGATGGTGATGGTGGTGAGGTTGATGGTGTCCCGATGTTGATGATGTTGATGATGATGTTGATGATCGTTGATGATGATGAGATGATGATGAGATGATGATGAAGATGATGATGATGGTGTCCCGATTATGATGATGATGAGGTTGATGATGATGCTGTTGATGATGATGGTGTCCCGATGATGATGATGCTGATGATGATGATGGCGATGGTGGTGTCCCCATGACGATGATGATGATGTTGATGATGAGGATGGTGATGAGGTGATGATGATCATTGTGACGTTGGTGGCCCGATGGTGGTGATGATGATGATGTTGATGTTGACGGTGATGGTGTCACGATGATGATGATGGTGATGATGATGATGGTGACGATGAGGATGCTGCCCCGATGATGATGATGTTGATGTTGATGATGATGTTGTTGCTGCTGATAGTGTTCCGATGATGATGATGGTGATGATGTTGTTCATGATGATGATGATGAGATTATGTTGTTGTAGATGATGATGGTGGTGTTCCGATGGTGATTGTGATGGTGTCCCGATGAGGATGATGTTGATGATGATGATGATGACGATGATGTTGTCCCGATGATTTTGTCCCGATGATGATGATGATGGTGGTGAGGTCATGATGATGGTGCCCCGACGTTGATCACGATGATGTTGTTGGTGATGATGATGACGTTGATTGTGAGATCGATTGTGATATCGATAGTGAAATCGGTAGTGAACCCGAATGTGAGATCGATTGTGAGATCGATAGTGAGATCGATTGTGATATCGATAGTCAGATCGAGTGTGAGATCCATCGAATGAAATAGATCGAGCGAGACCGATAGTGAGATCGATAGTGAGATCGACAGTGAGACCGATTGAGTGAGACGTTGGTTCCTCCCCCCCCGAACCTCCTTGTCACCCGAAGGGTGGTCGTATAGGTACTTCGCTTGCTATCAGGGAGTTGATCCCCTGCGCCACCTACGCCCAAACAGTCGGTGGGACGAAATACTGTGTTGTGCCCATATCGGTGTTCAAGTCAAGCCATGTGTCTGATACCCCTAATTCCTCCCCCTCCTCCGAGCAGGACGTCCAGTCACAAGCGCAACTTCATCGCTAGCAAGGACCACCTGCAAAAGAGCCACTGGCGCGCGCCGAAATCTGGCCACAAGCACGGCACGTCCAAGGCCCTCGAGGTGCCGAAGGGCGTCCTCGTGTTTTTCTGATTCGTCGTTATCGTCTTCCCCCGTGGTCATCATCCTACTGCTCGTATTCCTCCTCCTCCTCCTCCTCCTTCTCCTCTTCCTCCTCCTTCTTCCGCCTCCTATTCATGTTTGTCTTATTCCTCCCGCGTATGAACCGCAGTGTCAGGCCATGGCCACCCACTTGACCTGCCACCCAGGTGCTGGCTTCTGGAGCCCACCCGAACCTGCATGGCTTAAGGGGCCGAGGCGAAGCCCAAGATCCCCGCCTTTTAGCCAGGGCACGAAAGCAAATTCGCGTGGCGCACAGGGTTGTTCAGCTCAGGCAAGCAGGGGCAGACGACTGACGGGGATCAGCGCGGCAGCCCGTGCAGTCTAACTCGTAGTTCATATGCACAAGGTTGTTGGCCCAAGGGCCGCCTCATACGAGTCACAAGTTCGGATGGTTGCAAGAAAAGCCAGTGCCGCATCAGCAAGCGCAAGGGTGCAAAGTGTCATGTGGCACACAACATCCACTAGCACATGTAGCACGTGACTCGGACATAGCTCCTGTGCCACCAGCGCAAGTTTGAACGCAGGCGAGTACGTGTCCGAAACCGCGCAGAGAACAGTTTGGTTTCCAGCAGACACGCTGTCGCGTACAGCAGCAGCCGTGTGGTATGCATCGAATGCATTGCCACACTCAAAGAGGTGGGCTCCTGGCCTGGGCTGTCCGCTTCTGCAGCGATGCCCCAGCTGAGAGTACCTCGAGGAGAAAGGAGGAGGACGAGGAGAGAGGCGGAGAATGGAGAAACCGCTCCCAGGCAGTACCTTACGCATGAAGAGTAGCACCGTCTGCCAGGGGCGTATGCTGCTGGGCGCGAGATCCTGGAGCCCCATCCTTCGTGCAGACCCGCGCATCGCCTGGTCGGGGCCATTGAGCTGCAGCCTTGCGGCCCCACTGCTCATTCCCTCAGCGCCGCTGCCCGAGATGGTGCAACTCTATCTGCCCGATGGCGCCGTCCCCTTCCCGTTCCTGCCCGCGGCGACGGGGCGCGCCACCGCTCGAGGTCTCTCGCCGCCACGACCCCCCCCCCGACGAACCGCTGCCCGTCGCGCGGCCAACCGCGCGCTGGACGCGCGCCAACTCAGGGGAGGCTGGCCCTCGCTGGGCTGCCGAGCGAGGAGACGG